GGGGGTTGATAACGGTGGTTTTGCGACAGCTTTCGCGCAGTTCGGTTATTCCCCCGAGTACCTGCTACCTCCCCCACCAGCATAGCACAGGTACAGGGTTCTACCCACCAAGGCTTATGCAGATGGGAAAAATCATCTACTATTTTGTCTCTGCTGGGATTTAAACCCTGGTCTATAAGATTTGCACCAACTTCATTGACCACTAGGCCACACTCTTGGGTGCCCCTTCTATCGAATCGTTTTAAAAGGAAATCAACCAATTAGTTACCATTAATTCGAAAGGACAATTACATGCGAGGTTCCACATGATATTTTGAAAAATTAATTTGGTAGTGAAGTTTGAACCAAATTGGCGCAATAGCGCATAATGGTTACAGAGGTTTCATATAGCCCACCCAACTGTTTGAGATCAAGTTATAGCTGAATGGACTTTGGTTGAGGCAGACTAAATTTTTATAAGTCATTTTAACATCAAAGCTCGATAACAAATAGTTATAACATCTAATCACATCCAACAATGTATATAATCAAAGCGAATGTCACAATAATTTCAACATCAACCCTGAATTCCCTCTCCCCTTCACCCCACCAAAAAGAAAAAAGAAACTGTGATATCAAACTTGGGAATTTGCAAATGTGTAATTGGAGAGAATGGAACAACATTAATTAGCCAATGAACTCAACAGCCTGCCAAAGGGATACTTGATTTAGTAGCTTAGTAGCCTCTTTTGGTGGATTAAGAGACATGTTTGGCCAGCAGACTTCGAAGATTCTTTAGCAGATAAATGACAGTTTAAACGAAGATATAACAGCTCAAAGGAAACTTGAAAGATTAGGTAAAACTCAGACCGGGCATTAAGCAAACAAGAAAAGGAAAAAGTTTTCTTCAGCCCATCACGAAAATATACAGAGCAGGGGTATGCACAGTATATGCAAACTAACCACATTATGGCAGTTTCAGTTAGACACTATGCTTTTATCAACTATTGAAGGCTCCAATCATTTAAAAGAGTTTCTCTTCTTTTAGGATCAAAGACTGAGCAACAATACCTCAGAGTCTCTTGAACCAAGCAAGCTTCTGTCATTTATATTTCCAGATCCAATCAAGGCTGTATGGTCATCGACAATCATGATCTTGCTATGCACATATACCTGGAGAAAGAGTGACATAAGTTCACCATCAACTGGACATTCCCACATAAGCTAAATGAAAAAAGGGAACCAATTAATCACTTTATATTCCGACTGACAAAATCACTAATGATCTTAAGTTCAGATCTTTGGTTTTAAACATCACATCAGCTCTTCTTAAAGGCCAAGGAAACAACTGCAAACATGATTATGCACAAGAACTACATAATAACCAGTAAATGTAGCTAAGGTTGAGTAGAGCAAGGCCTAGTGAGGAAGTAACATTTTTGGAATGGCAATGCAGTTTTTCCCAGGGTTCTTTAAACTTCTAATTGTGTCCATAGGATTTGGATTAAAAATAATCATTTTGACGGAAGCTGAAAGATACCGTTTCAAAAGACGGTTTGCCCACTATCAAAAGTAAAATATAAAACACTGTTTGAGGTAAGTTTTATTTTTTTTTAGAGATTAGAAGTGCTTGAAAAGATTACTTTACTAAAAGCAAAAACACACCAAAGTTGTGATATAAACCTGAGTAGTACTTTTCCTGAAAGCACCATTATGGAGATCACTTCACCTAAAGAAATCCTGCTAAAAAGGGGGCCTAAAATGTAAAAGCATGATGCTATTTCAGGCAAAAAGATTTCTCCTGAACTGATCTCAGATCTGTTCAGCAAACAATATTGGCTTTTGATTTAATTTCCTAAATAAAGTAAACACCCTAAAGAAAAGGGTCT